TATCTGTATTTTATTTTAATGTTGTGTCACAACAATCATGTGTATTCAAACGGAAATTCTGACTTGAATTTTGCCAAACATACCAATTCACTATGATTCCAAGTGAAAATTTGTGTATTTTCCTACAATGTGTCTCTAACTAGTCTTTACTTGTTGCAGTGCAGCAGAATATAACTTTAAGATACAACAATACTTAAAAAATATATGCAATTTAAAAAAAGTAAATAAATAAATAAAAATAAGACAACGATACGCTCACAGACACGGCCATTAATAATAACCATGTTTTCATAATTTCAACGATTTACATGTTGACTCTAAATGAGCCCAATAACAAAACATACCATTGATTGTTATTCAAACACTTGGGTTTCTTTTACGATTTTCAGGCTCCTACTGAACAACACTAGGTTCCTAATATGACCTTGTCACAGTCCTGGTTGTAGCCCAGGCATGAGGCCATGTTAGTCTGTTCTGTCCAAAAATGTAAACGATGTGAAAACGTATGAAGGCCCCCTTCATCAAGAGGCTGCAAACCCAACRACAGACCCAAAAACATTCAAGAACACCAAACACAAACAAAAACAAAACAAAAACAAAAACAAAAAAAACAATACATACATTTTGTTGAATATCAAAACCATTGTGGACCTATCATACTCTGTCACATGCAGGGGCGGTTCTAGAGGCGGGGCCACAGGGGCACTGGCCCCAGCTGAAATCTAACTGGCCCCCTGAAGTGCCCCTGTCCTGTCACTCATCTGTCCTTTGCCTGAAATTGGCAATGGTGTGTGCAGTTCCATGTCAACACACTAGTGGCGCTAATGAGTCAAATAGGAAAGTTCAGCGTGAATCAATCTTACAGAATTCTTCTCTTCTTGAGAAAATCTGAACAATCTTACAGAAAAAGTCTCAGCTGACAAATGATGGCTGCATTTTCTCATATGCTGTGCATTTGAGAGCAATTTATCTATGTACATTAAAAATACATGTAAAATTGCTAAGGATAATTGACTGTTGAAGCTTTTTATAATGACATTACATTACAAGTGTTTGAACAYATGACTGGTAAAATGTATACACCTTACCAAAACCAGGGATTTAAATGCAAGGATGCTGAACAAATACTTGGCCCCTCTATGACTGTTGTGGCCCCTTACTCAGAAAAATCCTGGATCCGCCACTGGTCACATGTAACATGGAGCTCAGGACCCTGCACAGACCATCTATGTTTTAATTAACTTTTTACATTGCAGGTTCATCATCCAGGGTAAAAGCTTCAGAAATAAATTATCTGAAGGCTGAGTCTTGGAAAAAATAACTTAGTAGCTATGGTCAAACTAATCTGCAACTTGGTAACTGTCAGGAACTAACAAAGCCGTGCAGAGATATAAAAAAAATCAACGTGCTAGTTTGATTTTTACACATGGAAACAAATGATACCTTAGGTGGATCTCAGTGAAACTTCAGCTGGAAGAAAATGGTGCGTATTTGTTTATGCAGCACRCGTTCTGCTTTTGACAGAGGACAGAATACACCTGCACTGACCTCGCTATCTGTTCATCTGTCCAACACATTACCGCTACTGGGATTCTGTGTCCCGAGCTGTTTTCCATTGATTCATGTCCCTGCCAAGTGAAGCATGTGAAAAGAATGATTCTAGATCTAAAATTGAGCTCTGAGAGACCGCAAAGGTGATGTGTCCTGAAAAAGATAAAGCACTGTCTGTTGTAGTAAAGCGAGCGATCYAACACTCGAGAAGCAAGCTGAGAACTGTTTCACACACATCGTGTCTTCACAGAGGCAGGGAGGAACTCAAACCGGGGATTTCTGTCCTTCAGAAAAACAGTTTATTTCAAGATGAGGTAAATAAAACAGGCAACAACGATTTTCTTGTTTTGGTTTGTTCCTTTTTTGTTAACCTTTGTTGTGTTTGACACACATTTATTTGATTACCACGMATATCTGAGGACAATATCTTGTTATTTACTGTGAATATTTAAGTGAGATCAATGTTTAACAGCTGGTTACTGCCAACTGGTTTAAAGCAGGGAGTGTAAAACCATTTTATCTATCTGAATACGGCGATATAAAGAAAGCTAAAAATATGGCCAGACTTTTTTCTTTGTTAGTGCAGAAACAAAAAGGTACCAAAGGTGCTGYAGATTTGTGATATTACGACATGAGACTAAGCTCTTTCTAAATATAAGTAGTTGTGTGTACTTGTGAAACTTCATCTGTGGAGCCTAAGTACTGCTCCAATTCAACATTTAAAGTGGAACATGAAGTTACTTCCCTCTCCTCACCCTGCCTTTAGGGGCAAACAAACAACAGTGGTGTCAAAGAGAAAATGTTGGCGATGTCATGACTTCAAGCTTCTGCAGTGGAATTAAAAAAACTTACATTTTGTTTGCATCTCTAAACAGAGAGGAGCACAAATGTCCTCAGCATCGTTGCAAAGAGGGATTCAATAATAAAAAGCATCAGCATCTTTATTCAGTCTTATGCGTGTATWTTTGTGTGGAAGTAAAATCTGTGTGGACATCAAAAGTTACTTACATTTTTATAAAAGTAGAGTTTTACTTATAAAGTAAGTTTGAACCACACCATCATTATATTTTTCACTAAGATAAAAGATTTAATGTTTTATGCAGCAACTGGTTAACCCACAAAGAAGCATTCTGTACCACAACTTAATTAATTTATTACAACTTCCAGTGTTGACGGACGGTTAAAAGAGCTAATTAAAGCAGTTTCTCCAGCCTACAGCAGATCCGCCTCCTGGTTGATTTAGTCTGATGAACTTCAGTCCATTTAATGATTTTGTTTTTCTGTAAATTGCTGTGACATTATATAATTGCTCACCTAACAGGCCATATTTGAGCATCATATGAACACTGTAATCTTATTTGATGCTGATATCTTAATGAACACATGAAGCATTTAAAGTGGAGGCATCCTTTTCATCATAAAGGGGTCAAGAAGACTGTGGGAAGTACCAGGATGTTCGTCCGTGTGCATCAAGGCAAGTTAGCTCTAAAAATCTGTTTTTGCCTGTTTTTTTAAATGTAATAAAGTTTTTGCCTGCATCTGTGTGTGTGCTTGTTTGTGTATCTGTGTGTTAGCAAAATATTCACATAAATCTGTCTCAGCCTGAGCTCCAGGAGATGATTTTTGGTTTCTAGAAGCCTGACAGCAGACACTGCATTGCTTCAGACAAGCTGAGCAAAGAACCATCGTAGGATATGAAACTGTTGTCTGCTGAAACCAAAGTGTATATTATACTGCGTCATACAGACTGTCAAGTTATTTCTGAGCTTTTCTGCAGAAAAAGACAGAAGCCCTGGTGCTCAATTAGAGCTGCAAGATTAAATTWATCAAAAGTTGCACAAGATCCCAAGTGAGAGCATGCTGTTTAACAGAGGTTAAACGGGACTCAGACTTCAAAAGAGTATAAAGTTCATAATGTTTGTTACTTTAAGTCTGATTATATCGATAGTTACTTCACCATTCAAGATGTCGAGACTTTACAGATTAAATTAAGTTGGATGAGCACTGTTTGTTTACAGTAATCTTTAAACTAAACCAGAGATTCTTAGCTGAATTTATGTCTGATTCAGAAAACTGATCTGGTTCTAGAGTGTTGCTTCAGTGCTGTCCTACTGGAAACATTTACTGTATTTGGCACTATTCAGCTTTCCTTCAGCTCTGGCTGGCTCCTCGTACCTGCTGAGGAAAAAAATCCCAGCACACTGCTGCTGCCACCATCACACTACACTGTGGGGATAATGGGCCTCATGCAAGAACATGTTCGCATTCTTATCCTAAACTTCTCTTACTTTTGTTCGTATGAAGGGTTCGTAYGAACATGCCACGTCAGATTCAACAAACTCTTCTATCTTCAGGAAAAGTGTGTAAATGAGCAGCGTAAATTCCACCTGTTCGTATCCAGCTGCTCGTGCACGCGAGAGGAGATTAGCATAATTACCACCCCAAAAACACCATATAAGGATATGTTTCCTGCCTCAGATACAAGGAAGTGTCCATTCATGAAAAATGACAGCGAAAACTAAAAAGAAGAACTTTACGAGTTCAGAGATTGAAGTCCGTCTGTCAGAGATCCAGAAAAGAAAATCTGTCATTTTTAGCAGGTCAGCTGTGGAATAAAAAGAGCTGCTAAAAGTATAAACAACTGTGTTAAATCATTTTCATTTATTCAGAAGCCACAGTGCTGTGCACACCGTATGGCCCAATGCATCTTTATTCACAGTTTTGAGGAAGAAATTTCATATAAAGTCATATTGAGTCCTTCACATTGTCCAAAGTCCTGAAACATTTCAGCACTTTCAGGACCTTTGACAGTTCCTTCAGTTCTTCACACTAAAGTCCTGAAACATTTCAGCACTTTCAGGACCTTGGACAGTTCCTTCAGTCCTTCACACTAAAGTCCTGAAATATTCCAGCACTTTCAGGACCTTGGACAGTTCCTTCAGTCCCTCACAAAGGAATAAAGCCATAATAGCTGTCAAAATATGCAATTTTCCAATCTTTTTTATTTAAATTTTGTTTATGCATATCATCTAAAAAATAACCACCAAATGTCTACAGCAGGATTAGTGAGAAATTAGAAAAATCAGTGTCACCACATTTTGCTGCAAACAACAACAAGTTGTTACTTTAGTGTCAGTCAGATGGAAGTCAAGTCTGTTAATTAATTTCTTTCTTTTCTTTTTCTCCAGGCCACTCGTCCTCCAGTTGACAACCTTAATCTGGTGACTTTTATTTGTAATAACATAAAAAAATCCATTTCAATTCCAAGCTGCAAGTCTAAAAAAGATAATTAAGGATGAGTATTTTAGCAAACCATAGCTGGAGCTTTTTAGCCATCTCCAATTTAAGTGACTTTGGTCAAGTAATTATGTAGCAACTGCTTGTGAAAAGATCGGAATGCTTCTTTTATGTGCTTTTTTTATTAATCTGCAAAAAAGAGAAGTACTCACCATGTCTGTGTCAGACACAGGTCCAAAACTTGTCACATAAATGTTTGTCCTGACTTCTGTCACACTCTCTGAGGAAAGAGACAAGAAGCAGAGCTTAATTTGGGCACAGTCCTAAAACCACAAGACTCAGCTAATAACATGATCCTTAAGTCTCTCAATGAAGTAACTAAGTAAACAAACAAATAAGTAGACATTTCGACATAAGCAATGCAGTTTCTACATATTCCACAAAACATCTGTTCTCCCTCACATGGTTGTGACATGCTTTTTTTAATGGATGTTTTAAGATTTTAAAAATAAACTGCATCAAGAAGTCTCTCCCACTGCAGCACACGTCATTTGTACACAGGAAAAAAAACAGCAAGAGCATGGATGGCAAAGAAGATGTTTATTTTCAGCTGAAGATGGAGAAGGAAGAGAAAGCAGGATAAGTGGAAATCCTGAGTAAGTTMTGGGGTAACTATGTGCATATCCTGGGTTTTGGGTTTCAGAAATCCAGATAGCAGTTATCCTGAGTTAACTTACCCCCGCAACTTACTCTGTGAACCAACCCTGCTCTGTAGCAGGATTACTTGAACCTATCTTGAGTTAGTCTGACCTTTTAGCTGAGAGAGGCGTGTCCTTTTCTAAAGGAGCCTGTAGATGTTGGAGAATTAATCTGCAGAAATGTATGTCAGGAGAGCGTGATAAGACCAAGATTAGACGTCTTGTCATTTCTGGATGAAAATCTGAGAATTTATAGATGTTTTGATCGCTCAGGTTTCAATCTTTTCCTTCAAGTCCAGCTTGTAGCTGTTTCACAGGAAACTTTATGGAAAGAAAAATGTTACTATTTCAGTTACATTTCTACTCGCTCACATGAGGCTATGATCAAAGGTATAAATTATTACAGAGGTATATATTATTATTTTTTGTATTGTATATATAATTTATTTTACTTTTTAAAATAAATAAACATCTGTCAAAATGACAGATGGCCTTCAGAATTTTTCATCTCCGTTTTAAAATAACCTGTCAAATACGGAGAATATTTGGTTAACATGACCCCTGCTGAGGAGTACTCCATCTCAGACAGCACAGCCATGATGAGCCACCGGTGTCTCCCCGCTGTCTCCTTCGTGCGCAACAATTGTATAGGAGCAGTGCGAGAACAAAAAGACGTAATTTTCATCATGCAACTGTGACCGTGACATTTTGCAGAGTATAAATGGGACCCAGAGAACAGGACAAAAGAAGACATGCAGATTATATTGTTTAAATGTATATTTCATGAATATTTTGTAAAAAAGTCGGTTTATTGTTTTGGTATGTTGTATGTGATTGGCCATCTGGAAGCACTTATTACTAAATATAAAAGGAGTTTTTGAAAGTGCTTGCCTAATGAAGATCTAATTAGCCTAACGTTCATCCATTTACCCATTATCATTCCCCTTTTTTTCAAGAAGGGAGTCTCTGCAGTACATGTTGTCCTGTGGGTGGAGACGGCCCAAATTATGATTGTGGAGGTCTTGATGTGGGCAGAGATGGACGCGGTTGGTCGGATTGACGATGGGGTTTGAAGAGGCTGGAGGCAGCAGGGAGGAGCTTGGTCGAGTCGGGCAGGAAGCAACGTGTCTTTTCAAGATTAATTTTAGTCATAACTTGAGAAAAAAGTGCTAGCTGCACAAAATTTGAACGTCCTACATGTGAAGGGATGGGTAACAACATGGCTTGGTCAAAACATCCCTAAGTAGCCTGTAAAAAGATAGCTAAAAATCAATATTTTTTTTAAGGCTGGTTAGGAATGTTTTGTCCGAGCCATATTGTTACACATCTCTTACACAACACTTTCCTTTCTCAAGTTATGACTAAAATTAATCTTAAAAGAAACTTGTTGCTTTCTATCAGACTCCTCCAGCTTCTTGAAACCCCACCGTCAATCCGACCAATCACGTCTCTTGGGCCGCCTCCGCCCACAGACCAACATAAACTGCAGAGACCCCTACTTGTTTTTTTTCTGTTCAGGGTCATGGGGGTCCATGTCCAGTAGTCACTATATATGGGGTGGGGGACATCCTGAACGGGTCACAGGTCCATCACAAGATTACAGAGAGACACAAACATTCCCACTCTCAATCATACATAGGGACAATTTACAGTTACCAATGAGTGGTTTTGGAACAGATCATTCATAAATTCAAGCAAAGTTTGTACTTGGCTATTTTGTGTCTAGTTGTTAAGTTTAAGAACCAAATAAACAATATTAGTGATGTGATTAAAAGTATGCTGGAGGTACTGAACAACATTGGTAGTATTAACTCCAAGGACGTGGCCCAGGAATTGCTTTCCCTGACCCCGATTCAGAGGCAGAATGCAGCTGTAAGCTACTTCACAGATGCTTTTAGAAATCTTTTTGTTGMGCAAAAAATACAATTTGTTTGACTGGAGCCCGTTTTGTCCACCAAAGCAGAAAAAGTCCTCTGGGCCATGCCTCGGGTCGGCATCTTTGGAGAGAAGACGTCACTTTTGACCCAAATTAATGTTCGTTAGCATGCCCCAAAAACATTTACGAGAACCCGAGGGACTCGTGATTCAGGAACAGAATGCAGCTGCTCAACRCTCAGCACACGTGTTTGAGTAGTTTTGATTCAAATAATGGGCAGATGTTGCCGCCGTTACATATTTATATACACAATAATCACATTAAACGTAATGAAGTATACAGCAGTGTGACTATGGCATAACCATTACCAGGATGATGCATTTTTTAAATTACAATTACATGTCCCATTGCACATACGGTTACTATACAAGACCCATAATTGCTTTTGTTCTGTCACATTATAGATGATTCTTGTTACAACAGTCAAATTGATCATTATATAGAGTCAGTCAAGACTTTTTAATTTTAATAAYTGTGTGATGCAGAAGGATTGTTTYGGAGCGTTTAACAAATGGTTTAAATGTGGCATTAAGTAGGGCATGAGATGAAAGTCGTGACAGATCAAAAGTTGCCCTCTTCAGTGTGGGCTGAATCAGCTCCTCTGGGGCAATTGTGCAGAGCAGGCTCTCGGGCCACAGGCGAGACAAATTGCCTCTCCCAGTGGAGCAGCAACAACTAGAGATAGATGAGGCCTTTCTCCAAAAGTGAATAGATCCTCAGCTCTAACTGTGTCCCAGATCCAAGCGACCACCCACAGGTAAGTCTCTAATCCTTTGGCAAAGGGCCCCACAGAGAGATGAGATCCACTTTTCCACATTAATCWTTCCTGCGACACAAATGGCTCTCCCAAATATGTGATTATCACAACACATAGTCAGCAGTTTGTGTGGCAGGTTTAGGCAGGGAAACAGAATGAACTGCCCCGTTTCTGTTTACAACCAAACACCAGAGCGTGGAGCAGAGCTGCTGATGCCTGCGCTGCTGAAAATAACAAAAAAATGAAATGGATTTTTCCAATTTCTCTTGTGTCAAGTCTGAGACAATCATTTATGACTGTCTGTATTGCTCTCCTGACTTTTTTTTTTAAAGATAAAAAGGTTAGGATTATCAGGCATCTTACAAATATCATGGAAAATCATTTAAACAATCTCCAGTATTTTGGCAATTAGCCTTTAATATAAATTAGAGAAGATTTCACAGCTAGCTTGATGGATTTTAGGCTTCTAAAACTGACTTCAGGTCTGGTTTAGATTGTAATCTATGACAGATTTTATTTTCCTTAAATATAATCTGCTGTTTTCCATGACTGTTGATAGGGCTGGACGATATGACTAAAATTTACTGTATATCATGATATAACTCCTGATTTCAGTTGATACAATATCATTTCAGTGTTGATATGAATAATTAAAAAGAGTCAGAAAAACTGCAAAGAAAAATAATATTTTGTACCTAAAAACTGGAACTTTAAATAAAATTACAATTACTCAGAACAAAAAGCGAGAACTCAAATTTATGTTATGACTTGTCCTAATTTACGTGTTATCTGAAACATGTTTCCAATCARTAATTTATTGCAGATATCTGGAATTAGAGCCTCCATACAACTTAATAACAAATCTTACATCATTTATACAAGTCAGAATATAGGTATTTATATTTTAATTAACTAATATGTCTAGTCATAAACCAATTTCAGATATTTGGAATTTAAGTGTTGTGAAGCAGATTTTATGTCACAACAACCTGCCATACACATCTGTGTTTGCAGCGTTGGCTTCACTTTCCTCCACACAGCTGCTGCCGAGGAGAAGATGTTTTAGGAAGAGGGCTTAAACTTTCAGGTGTGATGTGATATTTTAACTCGATCCAGGGTGGACCAATAAGGACACTTTCATAGTGTTAAAATTTAACTCCCTAGGAATAGAATCAACACTTGTACTCCTGTTTCCCCCACAGACTATAAACACGTACAATAGGTTGCCTTCAGACCCCAGGCCTCCCTTGTTAATGACTGTAGGCATGAACATGAGAGTTCCACTAAAATCTGTCCTGTGGTTCAYGATATTAAAAAAAAAAAACCACAGACACAGGACAAACCCAAAGTTTACCCCATTACACAAACCTCTGAACTACAGCAAACAAGACGAATATTAAGTATATTCACACCTATTACCTACTTGTGTTCATTTAAAAACAAAACAAAAAAGAAAGTGTTGGAAATCTGCTGATCATCCCTGTTTCTGTGGTGACAGGAACAGAAGTGGATTGTCACATTAATGAGCTGCATGTAGTCTGTCCTCATGGTTGCTGCCACAGAGACCAGGTTATCCACCCCGGTGGTTCTGGACCCGGTGGGCTCGCTCGCAGGTCGAGCAACAAGCAGCAGAGCAGAAACGGACATTCCAGCTGGCTGGMTGAAGAATAATGAAGCCTGCTTGATGAGCATGTGGGCTTACTGTTACGCAGTGTGTTGTCCTCGGAGGGATGGATACTCGAATCAAATGGCCTCAATTAGTGGGATTTTTCACTGACATATATGCTTATTTGCCATTTGGACACGACTGAACAAGGACTGCCACCCAGGGGAAGTGAATTTTCACATTGGCCCTGCAGAAAGGGACCAGAGCTCCTCACCATCCTGGTGCTGGTTTATCATCTCTACAAGCTACAACCCCTCGCAGCACCAAGAGGCACAGATTTAGTGTCAGTGAAAATTTTTATTCATAAAAATTAAATAAATAAAGAATTCAAAAACMATACAAGACTTTTAGACACTTGTTTTATTCTGATTGTCTTTATTCAGAGGGACTTTTTGAAGCTTGTGTTATTATAATTTTTTTTAAACTATTAGTCCTGCAAAAACATTTTTTATATTTGTACAGTTTTACTTATCCTAAATAAGTAGGGGGAATTAAAATGAGCACAAAGCAAAGAGAAAACTGGTGAGGCCACCAAATTTTGGGGGTGGGCATAGCAGTAAAAAAAAAAACAGACCCTCTTTCAAGAAGAATGGGGTGATTCTGGATCCCATGTGGTGGATCCYAAAGAGGATTCCACCACTGAGAGTCAGCCAGAGAAAATGTGCCACTTGTGGCCTTATTTAAAGGAGACATATCATGTAAAATCAACTTTTGAGTTTTATATCATGTTATAATGTTATACTCTCATAAGAAACATGCCCAAAGCCTTGCTTTAATTCATTCATGCACGTTTGAGAAATCCTGCAGCGTTTTTAGGAAGCCATGCTGAGGAGCAAAACGACAGGTGGGGACCAGAAACGCTTTTGGGACCAGAAACACATCTGGGACGTGTCTTTAAACCAGGCTTCTTCATGGCGGAGCCCCCACCCCCCCATGACTCCAGCAGGCTCTCCGGTGAAAGTGAAAGTGAAACTTAAACTGTCTGCAGAGCTCCTAACATTAGTTCTCACCCAGTGAAGCTCTTTTCAGATTAAAAATACCTTTGAGGAAATGTATTTTCAGATACTAAATAAACTGCATCATGGCAGCCCCCCTCCCCACCCCCCACCGCACTGAAATGGGCGGGACAGAAGCGGAAGGT